CCTCATTGCTGTTTTTACCACTTAGCTCCTTTTTAAAAATGGTTGCTTCCAGGAACATTGGCATGCTGGGATTGAATGTGCTGAGATCAAAACAAACGCTCCTAAGGAATATTGCAATGTTGTAAAAGAGATTGCTAGGGAGGCTGCGGTTTTAAAATAGAGTTTATTGTAATGTCTGTGTGAACCATACTTTGACATGTGTTTGAAAGATGTGCATCCTTAGATTTGTCACTTGTCATTTACCAATTTAGTGGAGCTCAACAATAACAAAAAATAATTTGTAGGATTGAATTTGTCACTTTTTTGGGAAAAAGGATGATACACTTACAAAATTTACAAATCAGTTGTCAATGTTAATTGTTTACAGATTTGGAGTCTACAGGATGTGATTGTAACTCCACTTCCTGTGGTTGCTGTGCAGATTTGATTGTTGAGAAAATTGAATTGAATACATCCGGTAAGTCTATAGCATTATTTATATTTTGATCATTTGGTTGAATTATGACCATTGTTCAGTTGAATTTGTTCTGTTTTGACTTTCCCTGTCAGCAGGTATGGCCATTCTTTATTTAATTTGTCTACAAACTAGTATTTTGTGTGTGCTGCATGCACACTGCAGTTTAAATGTTCATGGTAAACATCGGTATTAGGAACCTGTGTTTTGAATATTTATGAGTAAATGCATATATTAGGGAGCCATGATGAATATTCATGAGTAAATGCATGTATTAGGGAGCCATGATTTGAATATTCATGAGTAAATGCATGTATTAGGGAGCCATGATTTGAATATTCATGAGTAAATGCATGTATTAGGGAGCCATGATTTGAATATTCATGAGTAAATGCATGTATTAGGGAGCCATGATTTGAATATTCATGAGTAAATGCATGTATTAGGGAGCCATGATTTGAATATTCATGAGTAAATGCATGTATTAGGGAGCCATGATTTGAATATTCATGAGTAAATGCATGTATTAGGGAGCCATGATTTGAATATTCATGAGTAAATGCATGTATTAGGGAGCCATGATTTGAATATTCATGAGTAAATGCATGTATTAGGGAGCCATGATTTGAATATTCATGAGTAAATGCATGTATTAGGGAGCCATGATTTGAATATTCATGAGTAAATGCATGTATTAGGGAGCCATGATTTGAATATTCATGAGTAAATGCATGTATTAGGGAGCCATGATTTGAATATTCATGAGTAAATGCATGTATTAGGGAGCCATGATTTGAATATTCATGAGTAAATGCATGTATTAGGGAGCCGTGATTTGAATATTCATGAGTAAATGCATGTATTAGGGAGCCGTGATTTGAATATTCATGAGTAAATGCATGTATTAGGGAGCCGTGATTTGAATATTCATGAGTAAATGCATGTATTAGGGAGCCATGATTTGAATATCCATGAGTGAGTGAGTACCGGTAAATACATCATCACCTATTGAACGATGCTAAAAATGTTCATAATAATCTGCATCAAGAAGTTTGTCATTTGATTAGTTGTCTCTAAATGTAAATTAAATTGGTGTTTGCAAGCTGCTGAATTATTGGAATAGAAGTGTATTTTATCTGAACTATCTTGCAATAACCATAAACTACTACAAATCATTTATTCTCGCTACTAGTAAATGCATATATTAGGGAGCCATGATTTGAATATTCATGAGTAAATGCGTGTATTAGGGAGCCATGATTTGAATATTCATGAGTAAATGCATATATTAGGGAGCCATGATTTGAATATTCATGAGTAAATGCATGTATTAGGGAGTCATGATTTGAATATTCATGAGTAAATGCATGTATTAGGGAGCCATGATTTGAATATTCATGAGTAAATGCATGTATTAGTGAGCCATGATTTGAATATTCATGAGTAAATGCATGTATTAGGGAGCCATGATTTGAATATTCATGAGTAAGTGAGTACCGGTAAATACATCATCACCTATTGAACGATGCTAAAAATGTTCATAATAATCTGCATCAAGAAGTTTGTCATTTGATTAGTTGTCTCTAAATGTAAATTAAATTGGTGTTTGCAAGCTGCTGAATTATTGGAATAGAAGTGTATTTTATCTGAACTATCTTGCAATAACCATAAACTACTACAAATCATTTATTCTCGCTACTAGTAAATGCATATATTAGGGAGCCATGATTTGAATATTCATGAGTAAATGCATGTATTAGGGAGCCATGATTTGAATATTCATGAGTAAATGCATGTATTAGGGAGCCATGATTTGAATATTCATGAGTAAATGCATGTATTAGGGAGCCATGATTTGAATATTCATGAGTAAATGCATATATTAGGGAGCCATGATTTGAATATTCATGAGTAAATGCATGTATTAGGGAGCCATGATTTGAATATTCATGAGTGAGTGAGTACCGGTAAATACATCATCACCTATTGAACGATGCTAAAAATGTTCATAATAATCTACATCAAGAAGTTTGTCATTTGATTAGTTGTCTCTAAATGTAAATTAAATTGGTGTTTGCAAGCTGAACTATCTTGCAATAACCATAAACTACTACAAATCATTTATTCTCGCTACTATTTTTTTTCTTCCACAGTGTGTATGAATATATCATATCTACCAGAAGAAATTGGCTTCTCTTTTATTATATCACTTGGTGGTGATGTGGTCTACAATGAAACAATTTCAGGTAAGAGTTCTACACTAAAACCATGTAAAGTAATAGTTAATAATATTGACAGAAAGAAACAAATATCAATAAACCAATGCTTTGGTACATGTACTGCAATCTAATCATAAATGAGGAAGTCAACATATTTTTCACAAAATAACACACAAATTATTGGAATTGTTCCAAAATTAACAAAGAAAATGTAGGATGTGTTGTACTTAGAATCAGGACATATACAATGTTAATATATTTGGACGCTGTAAAGTTATACAATGCCCATGATGGTATGGTTTGACACTTTGCTGCCGCCATGATGTATGTATTGTGGCATATTTTGACCCCCGGATTCTGACCTTGCATGTGTTTGTGGTATAGTAGGCCAATTCTGTTTATTTTATATGTCTACTTGTATATTACAGTCAAAAATCCACCACCAATTTGTTTTGGTGTACCATATATGAAACAGTACTTCAGTCTTTGTCTAGAGTTTTACAACATGGACTATTCAACAACCAGTCTGTCTGGCTGTGCAAAAATAGAAGCCATGCTGTATGCCGCTGTAGTGGAAAGTGTGGATTTGGGATGCTTCAAGATCCCGCCTGGAAAAGATATTAAAGTTATGACGATGGTAGATTCCAAGTATGCTGGAATGATGGGAAATGGGATGATGCACAAAGCAATGGGAAGAGGCATGGCCATGGCGATGGTCAATGGAAAAGGAAGAGGGATGAGGGAGCATATGGAGAAACTAGAGCGGGAAGAGCAAGAGATGAGGATGCGTGTAACTGGAATTAAGAATGGACGAGAAACTCAACAAGGTTTTGACAATTACATTCACTGATTGTCTTCTCTTTTCTCACACCATCAACGCAGACTTACTGGTTGTGAAATGATACTGTGTGTTAATCTCTGTGTGTGATATATGTCTGTCTTTGTCTAAAACTCACACGTTTCTTTTTCCATATATGGATGCACGGTCTACCGGTAGTGGTTTTCAATCTATCTACTGTTCTTCCCCAATCATAAGTCCCTCCTGAGTATAAGCCCACTCTTCTATATTTAAACATTTAATCAGTTGAGGGCATCCCCGATTATAGACCCAGGGTGTTTTTACCGGGCGTGAACGACATTTATTAAAATATGCATGTAAAAAGTATGTTTCATTGCATGAAAATCGTGACTGATACGGTAGTTTGGTTCGTGCTTTTATGAGAAAACTCGCATTAATTGTGCATGGTGAACGTACACAACATGGTTCACAACATTTCTGTTATTTACTCAAGATGAAACCCAATGTTGCAATACTGAGGTAATCCATACATTGTATCTGTTTGAGTAGTAGCTTTCGAAACACCGAAAATATGATAACCTGGTCGTTGGACATTGTTTTACTTTTCCGGGTATCGTGTCCATTGAGACTATCTTGAATTTGGAGGGAATGACTTATGGCCTTATGATCGGGGAAGTGCGGTACTGAACCAACCTTGATGTGGGAAGCTATTTCATTCTTACTTGCTAGATTGTGTGCATAAAATTGTTTATGAAATGAAACTGTGCAATTCCCAAATGTTGTACATGGCACAATTAAATATTACAAAAAATCATGGCAGTACAATAGTGGGAATTTAGTCTTTTCAGTTTTTCCTATAATGCTAATTTACTTTTCCCATTTTATGTTGAAGGATTTAGATAGCTCCTGCTGTACAACATTTTTCTTACTTCGTGTATATTTCGAGTCAGATGATACTTTATCGTTTGGCTGGTAATGATATTGAAAATAAGTCAACACACCAGAAAGAGAATGTTTTGATACTATATTTATCACCAACACTGTTACTTATGTAAAAGTAGTATTTGGCTTCCCATTATACTGACTATAGTTGTTTTATTCTCTCTACATGGTTCCTGTGTAAGTTTCAAAAAAGGGTTACCCGCATTTCCTCATTTTTCAGACCTTAAAGACAGTTTAAAGGTTTTGAAAAGTTCTGAAAAACTTATTTCATCAATTTAAAATCAGCACTTTAAACTATTTGTGCTAAATGTTCGACTGAGTTTGGTCTTTCCTCTGTGCATTTCTTGTTTACCAATCAAATAAATGTTTAGTGTATATAAAAATATTGCATATATTCAAAGAGATTCACATGATTTATTATATTTCTTTATAAATAATTTTGTGTGAATTTAAAATGGAAAACAATATATAACCCGCTGTATTAACATGTTATATTTATTGTAATGTATTCTTTATTAAATTTATTATAAACAAAATTACCATGTCTAAATATCAAGTCTCTAGTATTCTGCTTCTACATAAATCCAAACATTGTGTGCCACACAGTAATTTCATCATGCCTTGTCTTGTGAGATATGGATCATATGACAATACAACACAACTCTTTTACATCACACTGGAACTGACGACAAACGTGCAGTGTTGGGAAAACTGTGGTCCTTGTAATTTTATGGAAATGCACTAATCACCCACTGGATCATCTCCACTGATAGGGGGAATGAATTGGGAAAAAATGGGCATTTGCATATGTTAAGATACTGTAAAGGGGTTAATTATTCACTGGGTTTTAATTTTGCTTTTTTCGCTGACTGGAAAATGCGCTAAATTAAAACCCAGTGAATATGTAAAATTTAGCATAGAACACATTATCTAAATGATAAAACCGTGAATTTAAAACCCACTGAATATGCCTGAAATGGTAAATCAGCGAAATTTAAACCCAGTGAAAATTAGTCATTTTACAGTACTCATGAGATTCAGTGTGATAGTTATGAAGTGTTTTGAATACTGTAAAAGCATTCATTGTTCACTGGGTTTTGTTTTTGCTGATACTGAAGGGATGATTCAGTGAAAATAAAATCCAGTGAATATTTCTTTACTTTATTTTACATTCAACTTGTCAAACATAAATGAAAATAAATTCCCTACAATAGACCCCAAATCTTTTAAGGGAAAATTAATTCCAGCTAAAATAAAGTATTTTACAGTAAGTGAAATCTGCTAAATTAAATCGATGTGAAGTTAGAACTGTTTCCCTGGCAAATTTAAAATTCTGAGTATGCTCAAAATAGTGAAAGTAAAAATACCTGTGAAAATAAATGCTTTTACAGTAAATGAAATGTACATATTTTTTCTGAGTGCATAAAAAAGTAGTTTACAATTAATTTATGATCTGACTCTTGGAAGGGGGGGGGGTTGTTTGTTCTATTACTGTAAACCCTTTTTACTACGCTCATCATACTTGCCTTACCAACATTCGATATTACAAACCCAGTGGGCTAACTGGTCAGTAGAATTGGCATCTGGGGGGGGGGGATTTTTTCCCAGATTACTTGATATCAAAAAAATATGGTTCAATAATGGTATACATGTCATTTTTGACGATGTTCAGTTTGATATGAATTGCATTGAACTTTTGTACTGTCTCTACCATGTGTGATTGCTACTAAACTTTGTTTATTTAGTGTTTGCAAGAAAGATGCGTGATGGTGTTAGGTCCGGGTGATATGCATGTACTTTTTCCTATGCACTTGAGTCAACCATGCTCCAAGGAGAATCCTTTTCAGGTTTGTTGAAGTTTGACTCCACTCCAGATGTTGCTGGGGCAATGTGTAGAGAATAGAGCGAGAAGCCAAGTACCTGGCAGGGGTCAGAAACAGTGCAGCCAATGCGACATCCCAGAGACTGTGTAGTCATGACTGGCAAGCAAACTGTCTATTTATTCTGTGGAGAAAGCTCTTGATAGACCTGTTTTCCAGAAACTTCAAGGTCAAACAGTACGTGCCATTACACCAAGACCACTGCACATATGCAACAAACCCAATGGCAATACTGCAAGTAAGTCTGAGAGTGTATGCTTTCCTTCCATTCCCAATAATTAACATTACTGGAGAAATGGGCACCAGTAGATATAGATTCTTGTATACATTTCTTGTTATGAAGTAACATGTTACTATAGTAATGAAATTTTATAAACAAAATCCATCTTCATATTATCATGGTATTGTATATAACAAGCAGCCTCTCAGCAATGCACATTTCAATTAGAGAATTGAAGATATCATTTTATAATAAATGAACAAATCTGAGAATATTCCACCCGAGGTACCTATATGTATGATATCAAACAATCAAACTTGTGGTTTTCATCAAGCAATTCAAAACATCATTTTTCACCAAAATTTGAGAATTAAAGATAACATCATGAAAAGAACAAATCTAAGTGATGTCTACGCAAATTACATATACACCAATTATCAAAGCAATCAGATTTGTAGTTTTCAAGAAGCCGAAAAAGTAAAAAGTTGACATAGACGGACAATCACTCATATAAGCTCCACTTGACAAAGTAGACAGTGGAGCTAAAAATCACTATCTCAACCCTAAAGTATAGGATTTGAAAGAGACGTGTCTAGCACAATAATTTTGATCATATTTCCATTGAAATAATCAATTGTACCATAATTTTTCACGTGAAAGTAGATTTAATTTAGAGGATTTCACTTGTTGGCGAAAAATAAAACCCAGTGTATAATTAAATTTACAGCATCTTCCCAGCATGATACTTAGGAATTTTTCTCAGCATGCAGAATCCCTAGTTCTTTGTCAAACATACCAGAGATCTAGTTTTGAAGAATAGTTAATCCACGCTCTTGTTGATCCGAGCATCAAGTTCAACCCAATCTTTCACTCTTGCAGGAAAAATAAAAACATCATGCTGCATGTACAATTTTTCAGATCATCTCTTTATTACATAGTATCAATGCATTTAAACTGGTTTATATAAGATAGGAACCAAAGCTGCATCAACTTACACTAATAATGATACAAGAAAAAAGGATTAAATACAGGTATATGACAATAATTTATGTCTTGTATGTCCGCCACCAACAGCCTAAGAATAGAAAAATATACTGATATTCACACCTACTGTACACATGCCATAGTGACAATTTTTATTTAAATTGCAAGGTGATCAACGTCTCATTACCAATTTAAATGTGGTAACTAAAAATACAGTCAAAGCAAAAACTATATACAGCGCCCTCTAAGGTGGTTGCCATGTTTACTTTGTTTTTCAGAGAAGTTCAGGAGCACCTTGATGCAAAGAAAGAATGAACAACTCGTACTGGCGTCACTTTCAATCATTTGATTTGAAGCTATACAAGTGTTAGCACCAATCCACCAAGCATTGTTTTAAGCCAGATTAACTTTGGTATTAACATATTCTCCCAAATTGACCGGTTCATGACAAATGAGTTGTGACAAAGTAGAAATAAAAAAAACAGTTCTTTCTACAGCTGATGGACATTATTATATTGCATCAAAGACTAAAACTTTTAAGTGTACATGTATATACATTACATAAATATGTGGTGAACTGCAACGATGAGTACCAAAAACTGCTAAGTCTACATTTCAGCCTCTACCCTCTCCGAATGTGTTGCCACCGATGTAATTTTGCTCTGTTGAGGGATTTGAATAATTTACAATTTGAAAAGAAATCTGAGAAGAGTTGGGGATTGAAAACATATAAATTAATTACTGACGTGTATTTCTAGAAATATTCTGGGCATAACTGGCAAGCATGTTAGCTTGGAATCTTTGCAGCATTTCTCTCACTATATTCCAATCTATAGCTCCAATCCTACATGTAGGATTTACTCATTGCGATCAGCTTTGATCTGATCAGTTGAAAGCAAAGGCAATCAATGTCAACAGTGCAGACCACACGATTATAAGTGATTGCTTGTGCATGGCATTTTACCTTTACACCACCACACTTTATCACCCAAATTAGTCTGCACTTTTTTATATTCAATATTTCTGGAAATGAACCCTAATTTTGGAGCCAACAGACAAAACTTTAGCCAATTTTCAGTTTTTACTAAAAATGTTAGGCTATTTTTGTCCTTATCTTCTGAAGGAAAGTGCAGACTAAAAACGGAACTATTTTGTAATGAAAAGAGGGAAGTGGTGGTGAAAAAGTTATACTGACCAATGAACATAGAATACAAAACTAGTATTTATTTCTCAAGATGCTTATAGTATCATTTATGTGCATAAATCTGAATGGTAATAAGATAATACTAGCATTGTAGCTAGGCATATAATGAGTGAAAGGCAGCATAGATTTTAGGAGGAAAATATTTTTAAAATCCTGGTACATTTATTATTAAGCCAACTGTAAGTCATATTGCAAATAAAATAATTCAAGTAGGATGATAAAGAATTGTCATAAAACTGACATTGTCCTTAATGATGGGAATATACCAAAGCAAAACGGCTTTGCATGATTAGAAATAATAATGAATCATATCCTTGATTTCAAATCACCAGACTCTGGATGTAGTTTGTACATGTCCGTAGTGAATATGGTAAGCACAAAGCAAACTACAGCAGTATTATAAGTTTCACTGAGAATTTCTATATTGTGTATTGCGTTTTGGCACTGAAATTATTAATGGTACGAGTTTGCCTAAATCAAATGAAATGTGTAATTTATGTACAAATCTCAATTGCCAATCATTTCAGATTCCAATCTGTTTGAATTACATTAGCTAGGTAATTCTTTTTGAATAGTGTTCCCATGCATGTGAAAAGAAAAATACCCTAATCAAGCAAATTATCACAAAGTAAAACCTAATGACAGAAATATCTTTAAGTTGTGCCGAATCTTTAAATTTAACAAGCAGCCTCTTGGCTGAGATAGCTCCGCTGTTAGCAATGCACATTTCAATTAAAGAAAAGAAGATATCATTTAATAGAAAATGAACAAAATGTATAGTATCAAAACAATCAGAAATGAAAAATGACAAAAATATTCACCAAAATTAGAGAATTAAAGATATCATTACAAAATGAACAAATCTGAGAGAGGTCCACATGTAGTACCTATATATGTAATATCAAAGCAATTTAACAAGAAGTTAAAAATAACAAAAATATTCACCAAAATTAGAGAATTGAAAATATCATCATGAAATGAACAAATCTAAGAGAGGTCTACCCAAGGTACATATACACCAAGTATCCAAGCATTCAGGCTTGTAGTTTTCAAGAAGAAGTCGAAAAAGTAAAACATTGACACGGACGCCGGACGTCGACGAACAATCACTCATATGATAAGCTCCGCTCGACAAAGTCGACAGCGAAGCTAAAAACAAAAAATTGTAATATATAATAATAAATTTAAAACACTTATTAAACAAGTAATTTCACTATTCGAACATTACTCCATGCGCAGTAATGACTGCTTGTACAATTCTATAATTCAGACAAGCAATTATTTCTGAGTGAGTCAAGAAAAACTTCACTTTATGTAAAATTTGACATGGCAATTTAAACCATTGTTGTCTATTGTTGCACAGATCTCTTTTAATAATGCAGCTGTGTATGTCAGCAAGATATCATTACCAGCTGCATAGAAATCATGTGATTAAAATCAGTAAACAAATGGTATTCATTGTTTGTAA